TTCTTCGTCAGAGACAGCTGACCATAGAATGAGCCCACTGAAACATTGAACCAAAACATTCTCTTCCGTTAAATTGAAGGTGTTGAGATTTTTGTCCCAGCAGTTGGAAGGTGACTAACACAGTATGTTTTCCATTATTGAAGTATGAGGGCTCTTACTTATTTCATTACTGTATATATGATTTGAAAATATTTCTCTAATTCTATAGCTTGCCCTTTCATACTCTTCATTTGGAATTTCACAAAGCAAAAACCTTGGATTTAGGTGATTTGCAGTTAATTGTTCTTTCCTTTTATGGACCGTGTTTGTTTGTTTGTTACCTTACTTATTCAATTTCTCCAACATCACTTATTGAAAAGTTAGTATCTCATTGAAATGATTGTGTATATTTGTCAAAAATCATTTCAGCATATTCATTGTATCTATTTCTAGGTCCTCTCTTTTGTTCCATAAATCTATGTATCTCTCCCTCTCAGTCCTGCACTATCTTCATCATTGTGGCTATATAATAAGTCTTAATATTTGTACAGCAATTTTTCCCAATTTATTCTTTTTAGTTGAAACTGTTTTAGCTATTCCAGTTTCTGTGTTTTAAAGATACAGTTTAATAGAAGCTTGTTTGCATCTACATGATATTGTTGTGGTATTGATGGAAATTATATTAAACTTCTATATCAGTTTAGAGCAGTGATGGCAAACCTATAGCACGCATGCCACAGGGGGATGTTTGTATCACTGAAAGCTGTAAAAGGTTTGCCATCACTGGTTTAGGGAGAACTGACGACTATATTAATCGTAACAATCTATGTACATAATATGTCTCACCATTTATTTAGGTCCTTGTGATTTAAAAAAAAAAGTTTTGTCATCTTATGAGTTTCAGTATGTAAGCTTAGCTCCTTTGCATGTTTTGTTGTGTATAACTGAATGTTTTATTTTCCTTGGAATGAGTGTAAAAGATATTGAAGACTATTTAATTTTGATTTTCACAGGTTCATTGTTAGTATATAGAAATTCTATCCTATGGCCTATTTAACTCAATTCTAGAAAGATTTGTTTGTTTGTCTGATTTTTTAAATTTACACAATAAAGTAATATTACCTAAGTGTAATTTTACTTTCCTCTTTTCCAAACTCTATGCATTTTTCTCATTTGTTGCATTGATCATAACTTCTAGTACTGTGTTTACTAAAAGACGTGAGAACAGACATTCCTGTCATACTTTCTATTTTAGGTGAAAACATTTACACTTTTGCTGTTAAGATTGTAGCAGTACTTTTTTGTACATTGTTTTCATCAAATTTATTTGATTCTAAATTATGGGTACACAAAGCCTCCAGAATAATGGCAGAGTTTGCCAGAATTGGAGATAAGGTAGAAAGAAAAAGCTGGAAAGTTTCTATCAATAAGTACTGGATTATTTTGTATTTACTTTCATTCTTGAACAGAGCTTTTTCTAATACAGTTCTTGTCACCATTTGACCATATACAGTGTGATTTGCCTTTGAGCTGCATATGCAGTCTGCCAGTAGGCATTTTAATGATATAATATTTTAGACACTTAGACTACTTTCCTCTCCTAGTTGGTAGTGTTTCTACAAAAGTTAGAAAATCCTGGTATCCCTTAACTGTGGCAATATGTTTTCTTCTGCATTCATGCTTCTACTCTGTCTGATGTAATATGTCCAAATCACTTATTCACTAAGGGAAGAGTACCTAGAATAAGTAAAACATCTCTAAACTCAAAAGAATATGCTGTCCAATTTACAAATGGGCAAAAAATATAAACAGATATTTCCCTAAAAATGATGTACGTGTGGGAACATAAGCACATAAACAGATGGCCATCATTATCGGCCATCAAGTAAATACAGATTAAAACTGTAATGAGTTATAACTGCACACCCCTAGACACATACCTCCCTGCTTTTACATGGCCAACTTCTGTTCTTTGAAGCATCTTTTACACTTTTCCGTTAAGTATCCATTCATCATTGTATTTACCGCCACTTCACCAAAAGCCATAAAAATGCAGCTCTTGGCCTCAGGTTTCTCTTTGTCTTGGTCACTTTCCTTTTGTTCTGACACAGTATCCAACATCATCAAGTTAAAAGACAAGAGGCTTATTTTGGCTCACAATTTCAGAAGTTTCGATCCATGGTTGGCAGACTCAAATGTAGAAAGGGTGTAATGGGAAGGACCTGGCAGTGAAGAAAGTTGCTCATGGTGACCAAGAAGCAGAGAGAGAAGGGAAGAGTCGAGGAGGGAGATATATTCTTCCAGACCTTGCCCCAGTGACCTCCTTCTAACCAGGCCCCACTTTTTAACAGCATACTCACCCACTATGATCCGGAGCACAGCACCCCTATAATCCCAAGTACATGCCAATGAATGTATTCCACTTCTGAATATATGAGGGTTTGGGTGACATTCCAGATCTAAATCCTAACAGTCTTTCGGCCAGACAGGTCTGTGCTTGAAAGGAGGCCCCTGGTAATTCATACCTTCAAAACCTAACATATAATAGGCTGAAGTTTTGCAGGCTCTCAATAAATACTTGTTTAATAAGTGACTTCTTTCTTTTCTATCCTTGGAAGTCTATAGATATTTAGCACATTCTCTATCTCATAGGCACTTAGATAAGTTCCAAAAAAATTGAGGCATACTCTAGGATACTTAATCTGGATTGAAATGTATACATTTTAATGGGAAGCCACAAAATTTTTGGTATATTTAAGGTTTTGTTGTGAGCTTTTTAAAAATGCAGGCTCCTGAATATAACCCCCAGAGATCTTAGTTCATGAGTTTTAAATGATTCTCAGATATCTGCATTTTTTACAGTAAGAATCCTAGGTTAAACTGATGTGGTAGTCCTTGGACCATACCTTGAGAAACATAGGATAAGAATTCAGGAGATGGCGGTATACTAGAAAAAAAGTCCACTCTATTTACAGTACTTGGCTATAAACAAAGCCCTGGTAAACACACTGAAGTCATCTCAGAGCTTGAGTCCTATGAGCTATACATGTTGGGTATGCAAAACAGTGTTCTTTCCCTTCACATACTGTATCAGGCAAGTGTTTGGACCAGTGAACAAATCTGTATTAGGTAAATTTGTTCTTAGGCAAAACATATTTTCCCTTGGAGGAGATGTTATTGATATCTGTAGAATCTTTTTTTTTTTTACATTGTAGCTAAAATCAGTGATGGAAAAATTTCATTGTGTAAAATTATGTAGCAGAAGAAAATAAGGAATTGGGCAGAAAAATAGGAAGGATGATAAATATATATTTGTCAAGAAAGTAGACCTTTGGGAATGATTTTTTCATGAATAGGCTGTGTTCTGATATGTACTTCCTCTCTCAGCCATTGGGAAGCATTTGGGTAGTCCAGGTTTTCAGTTCCAATTCAGTTACACTTCAAGGATCCTAAAGTTGTGAGAATGGTGCAGTTTAATTACAAATTTAAGATTATATAATGCTGTATCTGGTCATTTCTATAGCGTAATCTGTGGTTAAAACAAGGTCAAAAACTGTTTTTCTTCTTTTCTGGGTGCACATAATATGAGTTTTGCTGAATTGCTTTACTGCATGATCATAACCTACCAATTTAATACTGTTTTCCAGTAAATGAAGCACATAAGGCTTATTTCCTTCCAGTGTACTGAAGTGTGGTGATTAAAATATTTACAAGTATCTCCAGATTATGTTATCAGCTATGAGATAATTATTTTGCTTTTAACATTTTTCAAACAAAAGTTGAAATTTTCCAAGTTGTATTCTGAAGTACATGCACTGCCTTGCTTTGTATAGTCATCACTTAAGCAATTTATATAATCTCTTAAGAAGCATGGAGTGAGTATGTTTTCACAAATTGACAATATGATTATTCAGATACAGAAAGTGACACCATCAAGTATATTAACTCTATGATTCACAAACACTTTTTTTTAAATGGGATTTTAGAGAAACAGTAGATCTTTCTCTCTTTTCCCCCATAGACTTAAGCTTTTTTTTTTTTTTAAATGAAGTCAATAGAATTTTCTCTGTGGTATAATTTAAGTTGGAAAGTATGCATTAGTATTTGCTGTCCTGTATTGTTATTGGAAAATATTACATATTTTCTAAAAATAATCACTGGAAATAAAAATAGTATTTGCTCTTGATTGCTGTTTTTTAAAAATTTATTAAGCATGTGAAAAATATTCCTTGGGTGATTAAAAAAAGAATGTGAGGGCCAGGGATTTAGCTCAGTGGTTCTGCCGCCTGCCTTGCAAGTACAAGGTCCTGAGTTCAATCCCTGGTAACAAAAAAAAAAAAAAAAAGAATTTGATTTTTAATAGCTATAAGTAAAAGATAATATGTGGATTCAATTGACTGTTATCCTTTGAATTGTACTTACTGGTCGTGATCTACACCTTCCTCTGAGCCTTTCAGGACATAGGAAAGGCACAGACAAATAGGACTTATACCCAGAAACAATATTTTAAAGTATTTTTGTAAATAACAATAATCATAGGTAGAGTAAAGTTTACTAAGGCAGTTTATGATCAAATATTTTAGAGGAAAATTCATCAATAATTGATCATTACGACAAGGTGAAGCTAAAAGTCTTAATGATAAGGTGAATCACTGGAGCAGATGTAGAAATCATATATAAGAATATTTTTTGGTTCAGGATATTTCATTTCCTCCTTTGCATCATCATATTGTCTTATTAGTTCATTCTAATATATACTTTGCCTTTTTGGATACCCCATGCTTTTTTGACCCTTTTACAGCAACATAGAATCCATGGGTATGAATTTGCATTGTATTGCTGGCTTTCTAGAAGCCATAATAAACCAATCCAAATCCTGTTTTTCCTCTTAAAAGAAATATTCTCCTCTTGAAGTTCTTGAGAAGGGATTTTAAAAATTATTTTCCTAAAGAAAGGAATATTTTGGTATAAAACTTAGATTTTCCTTTTTAAAATTCAGTTTTGTTTTGTTTTCAAATCAGATCTTGAAAATTTTAAAACCAAAATGAGAAGTACAGTGTCAGTGCGTGAAGGCCAGGGAGTCGTCCTGCTTTGTGGTCCCCCACCACACTCGGGTGGTAAGTAGTGCCCAGTTTTCTGCTTTTCCCGTTTATTAAGTTTCAAGGCAAGGCCTGTGGCATACATACTGTTATTGCTTCTGTAAATTATCCTTAGAAACTTGATAACCTGAACATTAGTTAGAGATTCTGTCAGATGAGTTGGAATATGAGATCTCTACAAAATATATAACATCCTGAAGAGTTTATAAACAATTTACACATTCTAATAAGGAGGGTTTCAAAGGCAACAGAGATCAAATTCATTTTGATTAGTTTAACACTGGTAAACAATGCTTTATCCTTACACCATTACCATTTGTTATTTTGTTTTGGTCCATGGTACAAATTGACTCTCTCTCTCTCTCTCTCTCTCTCACTCTCTCTTTTTCTGTCTCTCTCTCTCTCATTAATATGTGACAACACTGGATTTCTTTACATATGTAGTATGTATGAAAATATGTATATGTATATTCACATTACTTTCATTTTTATTGAGCTATTGGAATTGCAAATTTTATGCTACATTGGTATAGATCAAAATATACCAATCTTAAAGTACATTGATATAAATTGGAATATATTGCCAGAAATTCCAAAGCTTAAAATATAACTACCCAGAGTGAAAATAAACCAGCACATATGAAAATAATTTAATTTTCTTCCCAGAATGAGCCTGGAGCGCTGGTTTGATTTTCCTTTCATGCTCACCATTGTAAATTTGGTCACTTGTGGGAACAAAGAGGGCATTATTAATATATAAATCAGTGTTCTCTGAGAAAGGAACACATTCTGTTATTGAGAGATTGAGAATTACTGAGAGATAAATAAGTTAGGGAGGTTCTTTACGTTCTTTCTGGCCAGAGGTGAAATTGAGAAGTCTTCTTTTCATCATAGTAAATCCTTTTCAAATGAAAATATTCTGGGCTTTATTTGTTCTGTGCCATACAAACTAAGGTCCTTTTTTCCCAGTGACTTGTCAGTTTTAGTCATTAAATGACACTTGCCCATGGTCCCACCCTAGCATCCACATCTGGTGATTGAGCAAGGTGGGGATGTAAATGGCCCACCATTTCTGACCAACAGTGGGTGATTCTGATGGGCATTATTCACTTCAGAGCTTCCTTCAAGCATTAATAAATCTTTGTTAGATTATATCACAATTTAGTTTCTTTCTTTTCCCAGTTCTGTTTCGACATCCTTCTTTTCTCAAGTTTTAATAATAGATTAAAAACCATTATCTCAATCTCTGTCTAAACATCTGCTCCTGAGAGCCCAGTCCACAAAATCTAGGGGTTCAACCAGTTCCATAAAGACTTGGTCTTCTCTTTATTCTTGACTCTTCTTTCTCCATATTGTCTGTTTCCTCAAGTTGATTCCTTCTAGCACCTCCTATCTCTTGTAATCCTTAATATTAAAGATCCCAATGAATCAGACTGTTTCTTAGTGGTTCCTGAGACTTAACTGGATAATCTTTGTTTATGGGATTTTCCATTCAGCTACTGGAAAGAGTCAGGTCCACCTACTAACAAGCCTTGGCATGAGAAAGAAGCAGTTTTCAAAAGAATAGAAAGAATTTATTATGAGGAAAAAAGAGGGAGATATAACACATAGAACTAAATGATGATTAGAACTACACCTAGTAAGCAAATACCAAAGTAATTTAAATTTATATTGACTCAGACCAGTGGAAAACATTAACTAGTTAATATTTCCTGTGAAGAATTTTGAAAGTGTGACCCAATTTGAAATCTGATTAATTTGTGTACAGCATTTTTATAATTAGTTATACTCATTGATGAGAAAAGAGGAATCTTAATTGACTTTGCACAGAGTGAGTATTTCTTGTAAAGCTATTGGATGAAACATGGTCCAAAGGATGAATCTTTTCTAACATAAAATTGGAGAACTGATGTTTGATAGCAGCAATCCCAAGGCTGACATCCTTATTTACCTCAGCCTTAGGAGACATTAGTTCTCTCGTCTGTTTTAAAACACTTAGATGGGGTGACTATGGACATTTAGTAAGATTGTAGATGAACAAGGAAGGAAAGCTCCCAGGTATGACACACTAGCTCTTATGAACAAAGGACACTCGTGAGATAGCAAATAGCATTAACCCAAAGAATACCTCCCTTGGTGCCAGATTATTCAGCAGACTGACCAGGGCCAAGTGTTAGATTTAGATTAAAAAGCAACAATAACAAAAAAAAACAAAGCAGGAAATTATTATTCTGAGTGACTCATGTATCCTGGATACTGACATATTCACAATTCATATTCACGGTCCTGACACACTGGTTTATGAGCTCCCTGAAGACAGGTCTATGTCAGCATTCGTTTTGGACCCAAGTGCCTAACACAAAGGTATTTTATAAGAGGAGGTCAATAAATATCTTTTGAACAAAGGACTCCATCATGAAATAAATTAACGCCTTTAAAAATTTGGACACATATAAATTGTTTTTTAAAATCCACCAGAGGTTTTATTTCCCAAGTTATAAACATTTAACAGCCAAAATTCCCTGTGTGCCAACCGGGCAGGTACAGGCTCTGATGGATCAGAATGAACTCTGTCTGTATCACTTGGTATCAGCCCTGCTTCATCCCCCCCACCCCATCTCTTTAATTCAGTGGAGGTGTGAGCCAGCTCAGAGGGCAGCTGATGCTATGACTCCAAGTTTGGTCAGTGCAAGTGATGAAGTATTCATTCAGAGTGTTCGTGGCCCTTGCTGGGGTCCAGTTGGTTGTCTTCTCAGAGTCCAGTGGTCCCTTCAGACACAATCAGATGAGCCCTTCTGGATTCATCACTTTTGATTACTGTTCTTCACTGTATGTTCCTTCACTTCTACTTGATCACTTTTCTGTGTTTGGAAATGGCTAAATTTATTATTTTCTGATTACTAAAGACACATAGTTTATGTATTAATCAGATTTCTTCCTATGACAGCCTAACAAAGTAAACATAGAAAGGCAGTAATAATGATAGCAATAGTAATAGTAACCTGTGGTCATTTGAGTGCTCCTTAGATGCTAAGCGATATGTTCATCCTTTGTGAAAATTTTATGCTAGTGAGATTTTTCTGGTTAAAAGTGTAGAGAGAAAAAGGATGAGTATCAATCTAAGATAGATTTGCAAATTCAGTCTTGGAGATGGCAAAAGCATGAGCTTTCAGCAGGTAATATCGGAGTATCTTAAGCCCTAGCCCATCTCCTCTCCTCTCTTTCTTTTCTTTTCTCCCCTTCCTTCCTTCCTTCCTTCCTTCCGTCCTTCTTTTCTTTTTAGTATTTGTTTATAATACATAATAATTACATGCACCTGGGGAAATTTGTTCATATACTTATCACATCTTGGTCATTTTGACTCCCCCTTGCCCCCACACTCAATTCTCCCACCTTCACAACCCCTTCCCACCTCCACAGGATCTACCTCCCCATTCCTACCATCTCTCTTTTAATTTGCTCTTTAACTTGTTCGTATTTTGGACTTCCCGTTTTAGAGAAACCATGTGGTAGTAAACCTTCTGTGTCTGATTTTGTTCACAGCATTATGGTCTTGAGATCCACAATGGAGCACTACTAAAGCATAAAGAAGGATAAATTTGAGTTATTTGTAGGAAAATGGATGGATTGGAGACTAAATCTCAGCACAAATCTTCCCAGCTTCTGTTTGGAGCTATAATTTGGGAGTTTTAAAATTGTGGTTCAAAGAGGTTGTACCCTCCCAAATATCACAGAGCAATGAGGAAGTAAAATTGGAACCTGGGCGATCTGCCTCCTGACCAGAGCTCTGCACTATACCCTGCGGTAAACAAGCCTGCAGGACCATCCTCAAAATAATAAGGCACAGTCTTCAGGAAAAGCATCAGTGTTCTCAGCCAAGGAATTCTGACATTTCCACATTGGAGGCAGCTGAGTTAATGGTTTTGTTTTAATATTCCAGCACATTGTTTACACAAACATTTGACACATCAGCAATGCCTGAAGTCATATTAGCAGATATCTCCTTCAGTTCAGCCAAATGCTCAATTCAGATATGCTCTAGCCCACTGCTCCTGAAACTTTAATTGCAAATGAATCAGCTCTGGACTGGACAGAATACAGATTGTGATTCACTAGGTCCGGGCTGGGGCCTGAGATTCTGTATTTTTAGTAGACTCTCCCGGGAACCCAATGCTGTTGGTCCATGGGCTAATGACAGTAGCAAGACCCTGAACTGTCTGTTGCATTTTATGCACTAGCCTAATGATTTTCCTGAGAACACCCTCTGTCCTCTCAGCCTCCCTTTCCTCCTAGCACTTTTCACAGTCACTACACTAATGACATTCACCACATCAGGACCAAAAGATTATCTCTCCCCCAGGATGTCATATCCTCCACCTCCCAATTCAACCCTGAAGCTTCTTCCTCAAGATACTCTTCACCTTGATTTCATTTCTTGTTTGGTGGCCTTCCAAGTCTCCAACCGATTTGTATATTTTTATTGCCTCATAAAGCTCCTGTCTTTCTTTTCTACGTCCTAGGGCTGTGTTCATTTTTAGCGATAGTCCCAGAGTCCCAAGCATAACAAGGATTATGACTTTACCCCACAACTTCTCACTGCCCAGGTGTGATATGAAAGCAGCACAGTCTCTAATTCGAGTTTGATTTAGGTCTAACAAACCAGAGAAAGCCTCACCAAAAACGCTTTCAAATTTTAAATTTAAATTAGATGCAGTAAGAAGTATGAGTGGATTCTCCATTGTTTTGGTGTTTTACTTTCTATGAAACCTCTTGGATCTCTCCCATCTCTCCATGATCATACTTCTATTCTTATGATCACAATGAAATGGAAATATCAAGACATAGAGAAACACTGGTTAGGGTGTACCATACACCCATTAATTATGGATGGATGCCATGTTTACCCCCAAACAGCTTTATGATATGCACACTGCTTTCTGCCTGCTTCTTGTAGTGGTCACTTCTGAAATTAGAAGGACTACACATTAGAAAAGTATTACTTATTTGATTGTTTTTAG